TTCCTTTCCTTTCCTTTCCTTTCCTTTCCTTTCCTTTCCTTTCCTTTCCTTTCCTTTCCTTTTCTTTTCTTTTCTTTTCTTTTCTTTTCTTTTCTCCAGCTCACCAAAGTTGCACATGTTCACTGACTAATGTCAAATAGAATAAGACTCAATAAATCTTCCTTTAGAAAAGTCTTTTGGAGAAATAATACTTCGGCCATTCTTTCCTTTGTGCCTTTCCCAAGAATGCACATTAGCCTGCAAAGGAACTGCAGGCTTCTTGCATCCCTCTGAAAAGTGCCCCACTGATGGAAGGATCTGATATGCTTTAGTTTCCAAGCTGTGCTTGTTTTCTTGCCAGCTTATGCTGTTCTGGTTTCTTGTTGAACAACTCTGTAAAAAAAAAGGTGGTTATAGTTAATTAATGTATTTGCTAACATGTAGCTAACACCTTCTACCTCAACATACTCGAGGTCGATTTCTCCTCAACTTGGGTGACTGCCATTCTTTAAACTGAAAAACATGATATTGCTCTCTTGCCTAGAAGGAAGGTTTCTGTGATTAAAGACTGCTGAACAATATTCACCATCTAAACTATCTGCAGCAACTTGCAAGGAAGAAGGATGTTGTTCCTTGCTGCCCCACCTGCACCTGATGTTATCATCAGCAAAGGTGGTCAAGGTTGTGTCCAGATTGTGGTTGAATCCAGGTCCAGATTGTGGTCGAATCCAGGCGGCTCCCCTGCCCCAAGGACCCTCATCGGATCTGCCCTGGATTCATTCCCAAGCTCTTGAACTGTGACCCAGAGAAAAACATTTTCTCTGCAGCCTCGAGTCCTTTGCAAGGCAACTAGAAACGAGCAGGAAAAGATGTTTCCTATTTCTTAAGGGACCAGTTCAGAGAGCTGGAGCTCTGATTGAATACGTAATGTGCTGAAAAAAGCACCGTGCTCTGTCTGTGATTTAATAAGTAATTGAATTCAATACCACTGGGTGTGATCCCGGAGGGAGCTTTTTGTTTTTCAGCTTTCTTTTCCTTTGGACTTTTGGCTACCACTGCAGATCACAGAGCAGTACACGGAAGGATGTGTATCTACAGCCATATAAAAAGCCAGAGCAAAGCTCCCAGCAAATCGTTTGTTTTACTGCCTTGCGTGTGGGTTAGGAGGTGGGGGAAGAAAAGCACAACGTTTCTGAGAACGAAACTGGCTGGTGTTGGCATGTGTAACAAACAGGGGAGCAAGTCAAAACCACTCCCTGAGCAGAAAGGTGCTAATTTGGACTTTTTCTTTACCCATCTGCTCATTTTTTTTTCATATAACCTTTAGCATTTTGACTGTGTTGACATCTCAACGCTTGCCCATTGGAGTGAAATGGCAAACAAGTTGCACGTGGGAGTAAAGATGATGAGGAGACAGATGGACATTGAGGCAGATAAATGATTCTGCGCACAATATTTCCTTAAAAAGCCTTTCAAAAGAGCTACTGGTCCCCGGTCCTAATTCCACCTGTCCTGTTGAAATCTGAGCAAAAGGTTTCACACTTGTCTGTGTTGTGTGTAAAATCTTCCCCATGCCAAGGGATCGTACCTCATTATTACTTTCTGATGGCTTTGTGCAGGTCAGCATGACATGCCAGGCAGCAGAACTCAGGATGATTTTGTTGCTGTTGTTGGAAGCCGCTTCATTCTCAAATGTGTAAACATGCCTCCTTTGACATGGATATTTACAGTGGTTACAGCCTCTGTTCTCCCTCCATGCTGTGATTACAGCCTAAATTAAGCCTCTTAGGTTAGCCCGTTTGAGTGGTCTGGCTTTGAATCATCAAAGCTTGCACTGGAAAAATTGCATTTTAGATTTTTTTTCCCCAAATAATTTTTCTATTTTCTCTCTTCTGCAGTAGATATTGTACTTGTACTTGGTTTGCTTGCTTAGCTGTTTCCACTCCTGTGAGATGCTAGGAACTTCTCTTTTGTGACACTGTTGAGGGAGCTTCTCTCCTGTAGAAAGCCATTCCCAAGAAACATTTTCCTTTGCTTGTTTTTCCTGCTTCTTTGTTGCTTCCTAAAGTCAGCCTTGACAAATGGAATGACATTGCAGCAGTTATCCTGGACTTCTGGGAATATTTTGGCCCTTGTGGGAACTTGCACTCCTGAAGCAGATATCCTGGGAAGTAAGAGCAGGGGAGTGGGTATCATGGATATCATGAGTGGATATCATGAGGTATCATTAGTATCATTCTGCTATCATCACTGATTTAATTCTTTGACTAAATTGCTTAATCTCTCATCCTACCCAATAGAGTAACTGAGGCTATTATTAATTATGTAAAATGTGTCTTCCTTGAAGATGCCTGGATGACAGGCTCTCGTCTGCATTCTATGTTAAGATGCTGCTGTTAATTCTGTTTTTCCTGGGTGATTTGCGTCTTAGTATTCTGCAGTGCATCCATCTGGTTGTCCTTCCCTTT